CCATGAGTATTTATTGATTTGCCAAGCTATCCATTACTAACTCATAAATGCAATACCAGTATTGTTTAAAATGTTAATAAAATTAAGGGAGTCAGGAGTGCCCAACACTACTTCCAAGGATATTGTAAAAAAACAACAACCACACTTTGACACCAGGAGACAAAATTATCTTCAGTGTGAATGCCCAAATGTGGTAACTCTCCTAGTTTATATGAATTCTAAGTTTACCATTTGACTATCTTGTGCTCGGAGGAATCTAAAGAGAATAAAGCTGGATAACAATTGAGTTCATAGTGCTGGAAAATGCCAAGACTCATGTTTTTCATCACTTATAATTGTTAGTTGAATAGGTTTAAACAAATATTGTATCATTTATTTAATTACATCTTATTTAATTAAAATTACATTTAATTCAGAGGTGGTATTCAGCAGGTTCTGACCAGTTCTGGAGAACTGGTAGCGGAAATTTTGAGTAGTTTAGAGAACTGGCAAATACCACCTCTGACTGGCCCTGACCCAATCTCTTCTCTGCCTCCTGAGTCCCAGCTGATTGGCTGGGTCTTCTTTTGTTGCCCTGAACAGGAGAACGGAGCTGGAAAGCAGGTTAGTGGGGTGGGGAGGGAATGGGATTTTGCAGTATCCTTCCCCCAGGAGTGGGGAGGGAATGGGGATTTTGCAGTATCCTTTCCCTGCCACGCCCACCAAGCCACACCATGCCCACCAAGCCATGCCACAGAACCGGTAGTAAATTTTTTTTAATCCGACCACTGATTTAATTGTATTAAAATTAAAATACAATTTTAAAATACAGATTAAAATGTGTTTTGCGCATGAAAAAGCAAATTATAAACTATCAAGGAAGAAGATAGTGAGTCAATAACTATTATTATTTATTAATACTATTATATTGTTTATGCTTCTACTAAGAAAGTTATCTAATTAGATAATGAAACATCTGTAAACAAGCAAACAAGTTCAGAGCACCCAGAATTCCAGTTATATTTCTTCTTTCCTTTAGAAACTGGGAGGAATAAATAAGAACCTGAAGCAAATGAAATGAGAGAGACAGGCTATCCTTTGGTCCTCTTAGTTCTTGTTTTAGTACTGTTGTTCTACCATATCAAGGTTGCCAGAATTCATATGACTAATGGATGGCAGCAGAGTGATCCTGGAAATTCTTGCTGCCAATCTAATAGTCATTCTGACTTTTTCAATCCAGATACAATAATTTTATTTCTAAGTATCATTGGTGTATAATTACTGTATGTTAAGGTAAATATGCTTTCTTTGTTTGAATGTAGCATGTTATTCAAACGGAACAGTTATGTCTTTTTAATCAATGTTAATATTGAGCTTATCGTATAAACCCAGCCACATGGTTGGCAGTGATCTGGACCACCAGGGTAAGTGATGAAGTACCATTACTGATGCATTTTCCTTATGCTCTTAATTGCCCAGAGCATCCAACATCATGCCAATAAATGGAATGGCTGTTGAGGTCTGTCCTTCTTCACAAAGTTGTTTCTCAAGGTTTCTTTTAGTCAACAGACTAAAATCTGGCTGAACAACCAGTCTAAAGTCTGACTTCCATTGTTTATCTCCTTGGCTAGGACGTTTTCCTCCTTCGTACAGCCTCCAGCCAGAATCTGGTGTGGATTTTTTGAGTTCGAGCAGGGAAGCAGTGCACTGCCTCTGTGCTGTATTACTCAGGTGGCTGTGGCTTGGAACTATGGTGGATGTCGTGACTATTTAACAGTGATGTCATCCTAAGGAGCTAGGCCACATTCTTGGCCTTGGGGAGAAGAGAAAGAGCACTGGCAGCTGGAGCTCCCTTGAACTGCCATCAAGTGCAATAAACATCCTCTCCATTTCTATCAATGTGATTAATGGCTTTTCTGGGGAATAGTCCTGGTGTATGTTACACCAAGTGGCACTGAAGGCTGACAGCTGCAATGGGATATGAAGTAAGGATTTTTGAGGGATACGTATTTTGTTCCTGTAAATCTATGATGGTCTCGTGAATGATTCCCAAGTTGGTTGGAGCTTAACTCCAGCATTTTAATCTCACCGTAATGTGTGATGATCCTTCACACTTGGAAACAGCTGTAGTTAAACTTTCTGCACAAGAAGGAAAAAGATCAGACTGGTTTGGATGTCTGATCAGAACTAGCATATAACTTCAGGAGAGCTAATCATATTCCCTTGGTTTATTTTGGCTCTAGACTAGTTTTTATGATGTTCTAGGAATGTTGCTGTTGAGTGAAGTTTTATTTCACCATTATGGGCCTCCTCACAATCTCACTTGATGCTATTAGATGGAAAAGAATGGATTAAGAGCTGACCTGGGCACCTAAGATTTTCCTCTGAGTTTTAAGCGACTAGAAGAGGATCCCGCCATTAATGGCTTCTATAGTCCCCAAGTCTAGATAGTAGAAGACATTACCCAGAGCTCCCGTCATCTGCTGCTTGCAATACAATGGCCACCAGTCCATTTCACTTGTTTTGCTGCCTCAAATGCTCCTTTTACTTTCCCTGGCTCTCAAACATGAAAGGCACTGAAGAGATGCTTGCTCCTTTAGAAGGAAGCATAATATGTAGCTGTAACAACCATCACTGTTTCCCTTGTATCCTACCCATTTCTGTACTTGGACACTGTTTCCTGAGCTGATATTATGAATACAGAAAAGGGCCGCCCAGCTGTTGCTACAGAGAAAATGTTCTACACATGCTTAGATCTTCTGTAATTGTTCCTTCAGTATCAGAAGCAAGTTTTAAAGCCTAACTCCATATGTATGCATTTTGGAAGTAATGTATCTTTTTGTAGTATGATTTTGGTCTGATAGGCTATAGTTCTGCAGATCATTTCATGACCATTTGTTTCAGGCTGGAATTAGAAGAGAAAGAGGAATAAAGTGTTTAATACCTGGATTTTGCACATCTAAAATTAATTTTTAAATATATAAAGAGTATTAGTTTGAGAAATCAGATAAACGCTACATCTGCATAACCACAGCTTGTAAGATTGGGTTTTATTGTATAAACTATAACTAACTTGTCTTTGAAGGGCATTGCAGCAATAATGTTAGTAACAATTTGCACATGTGTTTTTCTTCTGGTTTATTTTATTGTATACTGCAGAGATGTAGATAGGGAGGAAAATTTGTAGAGTTGTGATTGCAAGCTAATCAGGACTATGAAAAGTCAGGTTCTGTTACAGGCTTGTGGAATTAATTTTCCTATTTTCTGACAGGAACCCAATAAGGTGCCTAATCAGTTGAGGCTTTTACTGTACAGTATTTGTTCAACTGGAGGTTGTAATCTATAAGAGCATTTGTTTTCAGTTGTTGCCCCCCCTCCTCATAATAGAATCCCTCCCCAGGTGTTCAAATGCCCTCTCTTCTCCTGCCTTTCCAAATGGTTGTTCCATCATGTCTTTGAGGCAAGGTTGCTGTGACTACTGTATTCTTCTGCACATTGAATTGGTTCTTTGGTTTTTAATGTTCAGATCATCAATCTATGTATAATTTTATTGCGATTCATGATTTTTAGTTATGGTTTAGATTATGTAAATGATGATTTGTTTACCTTCTCTATTAATCATCTCTGTTTTAATTCAAGTTGTATATTTGGTAAATTGTACATTGCCCCAGGTTGAGAGGGTTTTGAGCTCTATAAACAGGGCTGTCTGTAGGAGGTTTAAAAAACTGTCAAGATGCAGCTGTGACTGTATGATCAAAGCCCCACCTCATTCTAATATTGGTTATTGAAAAATGCGGGGCTTTGATTGCTTGGTCAAAGCAGCTGTCTTCAGTTCTCTCATCTCTCCCTATAGATGCCTCTGCTTGTAAATTAAAAATAAGCATGTCTGTTTCTTGGGTGGTTCAAAATGGCGTCTGCTTCAGAAACGTTGCTTCTCGGGACATGATTTGGTAAGTGTTGTGAGGCACAAAGAATCAGGATTGTTCATTAGATTGCAGCATAGAAGATTTATTCAAGCCTATAGACAAAAATCTAGCTGACTAAAGTTCAACCCTATACTGGCATAGATAAGGGTCAATGGGATTCAGGATGGGTTGGACTTGGACCACTTGTGGGAACCTAACGACTCTAAGCTGATGGCATGCTTAACTCCACTTCCCACTCCAGCTCTTCTCCCACAAGTGTAAAATATGAATGGATGGCAACAACACTCCATCCGGGCTGCAAATACCACAACCTTTCATACTGATGAGTTTAAGCCAGGTTTAGCCAGTAATGCTACTCTATAGCAAAATCCAGCCGCCTTCAGTCCCTCTCCTTTAGGATGGGCAATGCTGGTTTGAGGACAGACTTGTATCCTTTTAGTCAGATGTTATTGAGGATCGTACAGAAGAATCTTACAGGGGTATTTTCAAACAGAGTAGATGAAATTAAATTAAAATTTACAACTGAGAAACTAAGTAGGTGATTTACAGGAAAACAAATCAAATGTTTGCTGGAGAACAGCTTTTATTCTTGGCCTTAGAGGAAATAGATTTAGATTTAGTAACATTACTAGTACCTCATACGTATTGTATGTTATCTTCCCTCCCCAATCTTTTTAAAACAAATGGAGCTACAAAAACATAAGTGCATGTTCTGGTGGGATGGCTTTAAGCCACTTACTTAGATCACATATTGCATTAATCCATAGGTTGTATAACCCACATTTTATTAAATAAAACACCCACTGTAAGCCATAAACCAGGGTATGTAAATCACAACTGGCTGGGTTCCCAGAATTGACTAAGCCATAATAAAGTTTGTTCTTTTAGCTTTGTGTATTTTGCAAGCACAGCCTCAAATTCTCATCAGTCTACTCTAGGCACTTCTCTTCCCTTTCAACAGTGCAATGCACCCCTTCCGTTTGGCAAACTGGGAAGTTGTGGGTTTCCAATCTGGGATAGCCATCTGCTCTCTGGTGTTTTCTACCCCCCAAGTAAATGCTTGTAACCGTGTACATTATCTTTTTGCCTTTGCAGAGTTTGGACATTGAGGATGAAAAGAACTTTATGAGCAAAAGAACCCCTGATTCAGCCATAACTGAGAATGGCCATCAATTGTCAGGAGGTAAGGAAAGGAAGTCCTTTTAAGTGAGAACATAAATCTTTACCTGTTTCTGATGTGGTGAAAATTAAACTGGTTTTTGGAGTGATGTTGCACAGGCTCTGGAAGTTTGATTCACTCTTTTTTTTTTCCTGCCTAGATTACACAAAGAAAAATACACATTTAGGCTAGGGCTAGAAATAAAGAGTGTCTTCTAAATCACTAAATATTTTAATGTTTACCACATTGAGCTTAAACCCAAGTGGATGGCCAGCATTCTAGCAACAACAACTTATAATAGTTCAAACTGAAACAGTATTTCATGTTTCAGGAGAGGGTGATTCTTTTAAAGATGTGATTAAGACCACCATAGATAGTATCCTATTTAGTATCATATTTAGCAACTACTTCTGTTTAGCAATCATTAGCAAATACGATGGTAATAAAAAAAATTCTGAACAATGTGCAGTTTTACAACCAAATTTAGTATGCCTGACAACAATGCATGCCAGACTGAGAATAAGGCTGCCATAGTTACATAAGAACTTTATCTGGATAAGACTGCAGCATCCACAATTCATTTTGTGAACATTCAAAGTTACAACAGCACTGAAAATATGACCTGACCGTTTTTTTACAGTAATGACCTTTACAGCATCCCCGTGATTATGTGATCAAAATTCAGATGTTTGCTAACTGGTTCATATTTATGACCTCCCATGGTTATGTTATCCCCTTTTGCGTCCTTCTGACAAGCAAAGTCACTGGGGAAGCCAGATTCACTTAACAACCGGGTTACTAGCTTATCAACTGCAGTGATTCACTTAACAACTCTGGCAAGAAAGGTTGTAAAATGGGGCAGAACTCACTTAACAAATGCCTCACTTAACAACAGAAATTTTGGACTCAATTGTTGTATAAGTTGAGGACTACCTGTATGTGTTTATTTAGCAACCATTTTGCTTAACAACTTGGTCTTTGGAATGGAATTAGTCATTAAATGGGGAGTGGGTGTATAGGAATTATTTCCTAAATAAATATTGATCCATTTTTAAAACAAGACATTTATTCAGAAAAGGGGTTCTTGGTGCTCTCTGAGCTTGGTTGTTTTCTGGCAGACGTTTTCTTGTAAACAACCAAGCTGAGAGAGTACCAAGGACACCTCATTTCAGCCCTGAACTACAAATATTCTCCTTTATTTATTGAAAAAACAGCATAAACAAAGTCATTGATGTCTTTTGAACAAGTAAAAAAAAGCCCATGATGAAAGCATCAATTTTCTTGGTTCCGTATCTGAACATACCCCAATAAACTTCAAAAATGGAACTTATTGGGCTGTACAGTCAGATAAAAGTTGGAGATTGGTGTTCTTGTGGTTTATATGCTGTAATCAGGCAATTAGTTGGCCATTTATTTACTTTGCTTAAAGGAGTCTCATATTTGTGGCACTTGAACTTTCCTTAAATGATATTATTCTAAGAAAAAATGGTATTCAGAAATAAGAATTCCCTGGAAAATTTGAGACAGTGTAGAATTTTAAATTTAAAAAAGAAGATCCCAATGCAGTTTTGCTCTTTTCCTCATCAGCCCTGGCTAGCCTCAACCAAGAAACATTCTTCTCTTCACTTTTTAGATTCTCCTCTTGAGGCACATGCTCCAGCCATGTCTTCACGGATGCCCCACCAGCCTGTTACTGCAGTAACTAGAGTATCGGAAACGTTTTCAGGAGAAACGGTCGGATCGTCAACTGTGCCAAACTCTCCTGGCGGGCATCAGAGCAATGCTCATAATGATGCTGCATCCAAAACATTGATTCAAGCAGGTAAAATAGTGGATGAAGAAAATAATCCCCATTTGTGCAAATCTAGCTGTGCAAAGATACCTACTAGCTCTATGCCCCCTTTGAAAATGAAGTGGAAGAAATGTTTTGAACTTCACATGAATACAGTGCCTCTCTGCTGTTCATTAAAACAGTTCTCTTTTCTTCATGTCCTAAGAAACTACCCTAAGAGTCATATGGTGAGTCAATTTTTAAAGTGGGGGCACTTTTATTCAAGATTCTGTGTAACTCTTGGGAAAAAAGCTGTGCCTTGTTTAATGAATAGCAGAGAGGCTCTCTACAAGACTCCAGATATGATGGAATTACTGGAAATGGTTTTCATCAGTAACCCAGGAGTGCCCCATTGCATCCATTACGTCTCTTTAAAAATATCTTAGAGCTAAACCTGTGGGGAAATGTTTATGTCTCAAGTAACCCTTAAAGGAATTAGCATTTTAATTTGGTGTGCGTGTTTTGGTTTTTAGTGGTGGGAAAGGAGAACATAACTTTCTTGTGCATTAAAATTGGGCCAGTCCTTTTCTTTTAAATAAAAACATCAAAGAAGTATGGCTTTGTTTTGGGAAGTGTTATCTCTCACTGAATGCATTCCCATAACATATTTAACTTGGTTACAAAACTAAATCATTTTCTGGGTTTGTACCACTCCCATAGAATCTCATGCTAGTCAAATGGGCTGTTGGGCAAATGCTGACTTGTTGGAATGTAGCCTTTTGATAAGAGCGATCTAATCTGGCTTGATGGGTTAATGGTCTAATTTGGAGCTCTGATTTTCTTCTCTGTATAAAACAAAATAACATTTTTTGCTCTTTGTTAAAAAGAAAAAGAGGTGAAAGGTGCTAGCAGTTCAACCCTGAGCACTGCGAAGAACTGGAACGTGAGGACAACAAATGCTTCCTTTACTTCAGGTTGGCAAATGTGTTTGCATATATTTTCATTATGTTTGAATAATACTTTTCTATGCTATTATACCATGGTATGGAAAAACTGACACAATAAATAGGTTTCCAAAGGTCTCCATGTTCAGATTCCGTACATTTACCCTCAAATTATCTAAATTTTAAATGCATGTTTCTCATTTCTTATTTTAATGTTTTATATTGTATTTTAATTATATGACCGTAGGTGGCATAGAGTTTTAATAATATTTTTTAAAAAAATGTTCAACAGTGTTTGTGCAAATGCTGTCTCACTGACACTTGTATCAGGCAGATGTTTGGCTGAAGAACAGGTACTCCCCATTGAAAATGAAGAACCTGGGGACTAGAAATTGTATGGAAACTAGGTGGCTTGATCAGAGTGGAAGCAGAGGTCTCTGCAAGATCAGAGGATTTGGCAAAATGATAAAAACAGTCCATGCTGTTCTGAAACAAGCTCGACCCCTTTGATCTGTGCATTGTGTGATATCACGACGCACAAACAAAAGGGGTGGCGTTTGCAGCTGGTGTTTGTTTTCATCTTCAAAATTAGCAAGTGGATAAACTCTTGGTGCATGGTGAAGACATGGGCTGCTCTTCATCATAACACTGCCATCTTGCTGATTTCAACACATGCTTATAGTGTCATCAGCTAAGGAACTTCTGCCTTAATGTGGCTCAGATGGGCTTTAATCCCAGACATGGATACCTGCAGCGGATTCCACAATGTCAAAGTGAATGCAGCAGGGCAATTGAAGCCTTTCCTCTGATTAGTGGGTCAATTTCTTAGGCCATCTTTTTTTCAAGTTCAGGCAGAGCTCTGAAAATGATGTGGCTACTTTAATTAACAGAGAAGTTCAATGCTTACCCAGAGCTCAAAGCATTGTTTTGGAATCATTTTTAAGTCCTAAATGTGCTGAACCAGATAGTTTTTGATGTAGTCCAGCAAAGCCAAATATATTTGTATGGTGACCAATAAAAATCTGAATCTATTTTTTAAGGTGATTTTGATGCATTTGTACTTAATCTTAATAATATAAACAATGCTAAGAAAATTATCTGAGTACTTTATATCCTGATCCAGATTAATCATCAGTTTGCAATTGTAATTTAAAGGTGAAATCTGCATAGTAAAGAATTCTTCTCAGATAACATTGGTGGATCGATCACCAATACCAGTGAATTGCAAATCCCAACCTCTTCTCTATTCGGAGCATGATTCCCTCACCCCCCCCTCCCCAATGCACAAACTTGGTGTCAGGCATTCCACCCATCCCCTCAAAAACAAATGCTGAAGGACAATGATCTGGGAGAGACCCAATTTCTTTATTTAATTTTTCTGTGCAGATAAATTTTCTTCCGGGACAAAATCCACATCGACTGTAAACTACGGAAGCCAATCTAGTGAAAGGTGAACATTCTTGTGATTTGCAAGTATCTGCTCTTTGGGTTTTATTGTAATAAGGGCAAAACATGGACATGCTGTTGGGTGGAATAGATCTCAGGCCTTTCCCCGCTGCTGACCTGTGGAAAATTTGTACCAGTATGAAATGTGTTGTTCCCATTTCCTATTATGCCATGTTCTTCCCTTTTCCTGCGCTGTTTCTAGTCATTGCAATACACTTGACTTCCCATCAAGGTGGGAAGGTGGGCCTTATAGTTTTTACACATCTTGTAGCTGCCCTTGGATGGTGTTAAAGCAGCGGTCCCCAACCTTTATGGCTTGGTGGCCGCAGGGAGTGGGGGAGAGGGGAATCGGCCTACTGCTTGGGCAAGTTGAGCTCTATGTGTGTGTGTGTGTGCGCGCGCCAGCCAGCTGCACATGCAGCCCAGTTCCAAACAGGCTATGGCCTGGTAATAGGCCACAGCCCAGAGGTTGGGGACCCCTGTGTTAAAGTAAGTAGAGAAACATTACTTCAACATTAGTACAGCTAAGAACACTTAAGCCTGTCTCACTCTGAAGCAGGCGACAAAATAGTTGCAATGTTGTGGGTATATGGCAGAAAAATATTACTAGAAGGTGTACTAGTACACACTAAGATGAAACTAAACACAGGCATGGTAACGTAATATGCATTGCCACTGTTCCATACTTGTTTTTCGGTGTCCAAGTTCATAAAGTTTGTATGATGACATCCTTGTGTCCATGTTGTCATTTTCCCTCTGCTTTTATACTCCCTGAAAATGTTATGAAGAAATGTTTATGCTATGGTCATGGCCAATGGGAAAAGGCTCATTGGTTTGGTCTGTTTAAACAGGGTTTGTTAACTAAACTATATTTGGCTATAGATCTCACGTCACATTAAATCATAATGAGGGAATTGAGTTTAGCCCAGCTTTTTTTAAAATTGGGAAAAATATAAACGGGAAGCTAGCATGTTATAGAATAAAGCTCCGCCCTCAAGCATAATCTTTATTTTTTATTTTCAAGAATGCCTCTGGGCCTTACATAGGAATAAATAATGACAGAAAATAAAAATGGTAGGAACTGCGGCCTATTTAGGTGTAACTTTAGCTTTTGAATAAGTGGCATTGGTTTTTGTTTTGTTTTTCTACTCTGCATATCTTCCCTGGCTGCTGCGTTTTGAGAGTGCCCATGTCATGGTTTTAAAATTTCAGATATGCCTACTGATCCAAATTATATGTATGATATATAATGGGCCTGACATAGCATACTTTATGAATCCAGCTATTATATTGCATCGCTTTTGGAGAATCCAATGAGTCATCCTTTGAACTGTGTACTTTTGAAATGTATTTTCTGTCTTTTTTGTGGGGGCAGTGTCACCACCAGCCAACAAGCCCAGGTTTCAAAGTCCCACTCTTCAACTTCTTCAGTCCATCGACAAGTGGAAAAGCGAAGGGAACTGGTGAGATCTCAGACTCTGCCCCGGACTTCAGAGACTCAGTCTAGGAGAGCACTGTTTGAGAAGTTCGAGCAGGATACTGGAAAGTACGTTGCTCCCTTTTGTCCAGTCCAACTTTTAGAAAGTTAGTTCAGGGAAAACCTGAAGGGTCTCTAAAAACAGCTGCCTTAAATCAGGTCACAGTTTCTAGCCAAATTGCTTGCACTTGTTTGTCTGCAGGACAAGGCTATGCCAGAAGCTCTGTTCTGGTAAAAAAAACAACACAACAACTTTAAGAAAAATGTAAAATTGGCTAATCCTTAGTATAGTAGAGTTCCTACAGTTTACTTAGGCAGCATCTTTAGCTGATGCAAAACAGCACAAATCATTGCAATGTTCTCCAACCAGCATGCAGAAAAATATATATCTTAAAAACAGTTGTTTTACTTATGCTAAAGTAAAATGTGGAGGAATTGAATAGGAGACAAGGGATTCGAATGGTAAGGTAAAAGCTAACACTCCCTCAGTTTTCTGATGTTCATCAGATACACAGGATAATGATATTCAAATGTGACAGTTCCTCTGTGATGAAATAGGAAAAATCTGGGTGAAGGTTGAAGGAGATGGTTTTTCCATTTAAAGTACTACCTCTCTAGATGACAGCATTGATTCCTTCTCTTTGTGTCCCTCATTTGTCCAGGGGGAAGAATGTAGGCCGGACCAAACTCAAGAGATCCCAGAGTTTTGCAGTTGCCAGTGCCAGCAGCATCAAGCAAATTCTCTTGGAGTGGTGCCGGTCCAAAACTATTGGCTACAAGGTAGGTAAGGAATTCTGTAAACTGCATCCCTTCCCCCTTCTTCATTGTTTCACTTTGTGAACCCATATAAAGTAGTACAACTTCTGGTTCCTCGCAGATACTTAAATTCAGGCTTCTCTACCCCAACTCTGTCAGTTTCTTATCCTGAATTACAGTACTTGTATTCCCCTTCTTCTGCCCTGTCACCCACTCTCCCCGTCCTCCAGCATATAGATCTGCAGAACTTCTCCTCTAGCTGGAGTGATGGGATGGCTTTCTGTGCACTGGTGCACTCCTTCTTCCCTGAAGCATTTGAATACCACACATTGGACCCCACCAAGCGCAAGGAGAACTTCGAATTGGCATTCACAACAGCTGAGTAAGTAGGATGCTACCGTCATGAGTTGCCTGCTCTAAATTTATAGTAGCTTCACAGAGTTCTTAACTTTCCTCAGTTAAGAAGGCTACACTTTTAAACCTATGTCTGATAATGGAAAACATGAGGACATTAATTTTGAGGAAAGTTTTGTAAGATGGTTGGTTGGTACTTATCCCCTTGAATGCTAGTTTTCCTTCATTTTTCCATTCTCAATTTTTCCAAATTGCTCTCCTTCCTAAATCTGATGCCTTGCCTCCCTTTGTAGAAAAATGGCCAACTGTGACCGCTTGATTGAAGTGGAAGACATGATGCTGATGGGCCGCAAACCAGACCCCATGTGTGTCTTCACATACGTGCAGTCTCTCTACAACCATCTTCGGCGCTTTGAATGAATCCAGGAAGGCCGTGACTCTTAGAATGGGACTGCTCCACAGCTGCTTTTGTGCTAATGTTTGGTGCTGCTACACAGCTGCTTGCAACCCTACAGAGGGAATTCCCAGGCCGCTGGACACAGCCACAAGCCAAAGAGAAAGAAAAGATAAAAACAGTCAAGGTTCCAGGGCAGCTAGAGCTCTTGCTGAAAAAATGATAGAAGGCCAGCAGTTCCTTCCTTGTTCTCTCTAGGCAGCTGTGAATAGAGATTCTTGTTCTAAGAATTTCCTTTTAACTATATGTGCAAGCTGATTTGACCAAATTGGCCTAGAGGGATAATTCAAGCATGATCTCCTCTCTTCCTCCCAGTCTTTCTTCTATAGATGTCTCAAAAGTCTGCTATGTTTATCATTTGTGGGCAGCTATGCTATTAGTTGCTTTGTATTATATCCCCCTTCTTTTCCCTGATTCCACTTCCTTATGTTCTGGAATTCCTGGGATAGATTAATGCGGTGTGGATAGTTTGAAGGCTAATGTTCAAATTCTCCTGATCACAGAGGCTTCTTGCATACTTTTAGAACTCAGCTTGTTTCCAAAGGCTGCAGTATTGAAACCTGTTTTCCTTCAAACCAAAAGACTTGCTTGTACATTTAAAAACAATGTTCTTGCAATACTGGAGTATATTAACCTGAATGATCATAACTGACACTTCACCACAATTTGCTCCAGCATTACTTTTCCCCGATATCTGTGAATTTGTCACCCGAAAGCTGCATGCTGAATCCTGCTTTAGACACACCTGAAACTGAGCTCGGGGGGGGGGAAGAGGAGAGGACTCAATCAGGCGATGTTATCTGATACTGAAGCAGGTATTGGCAACCATGTGAGGGTTATCAGATTTAGCATTTGGGGGGGAGGTTTAGGGAAAAGAAAGTCCACATGAAAGGTGCAGAGAGAGAGGCAACAAAAAGAGGGACAAATGAGGCAGAAAGGACACAAAAATGGTGCAGTGAGGCAATCTGGCTGGAGGAGAATTTATATATTATTTTTCCTAGTTGTGGGGAAGAGTTTATTTTTAAGAAAACACTATTAAACCTTTATAGGTGTACATTATGATGTAGTAAGAGGGGGGCTCTGGGGGAGGCAGAAATGAGAGTTGTGGGATGCATAATCCTGAGCCCTAACGTTGCTCGCTCCTGCAACAGAGCACGAATACTTACCCCAAATAGCTATGGTGATGCACAAGGACTGTGTTGAGAGGCTCTTATGGGCAGATTGTTGAAATTCTGCATAATACTTGCATACCTTAGTCTTCTGGTCTTGAAGGAATGAGGAGAATTTGCTCTTTATGATATACATCAAATTCCCAGGAGGTGATTGCCAGAAAGGAGACTGATTACAGCAAAAGCACCACTGAGTCCAAAATGTTTATCCAAAATATTTGAAGTAACTGGTGCCAGATACATCAGTCCTGGTGCATGCTGACTGAGAATTCTGGATGGTACCAAATTGGTAAGAGTCATTGTAGAAGCATTTGCTCTGGTATGTGGGAGAATTGTGCTCAGTAAAAGAAGGAAGAGGGTAAAATGGAGTTATGGTTCAGATTAACCTGGGCTGGCAAAAGTGTTTACATCCATCCATAAAGACATTATGCTGCGCTTAGACCACACCATTCGAGAAACAGCCAGCTAAAGTGTAGCACACTTCTAATCTCAAGTTTTGGTATTTGCTTTGCATATCTTAAAGCTATTTTGAAAATGGTCTCAAGTATTACACAAGATTTTGCATGAAAGCAAATTGCCTAGTATCAGCATAAGCTGCTTTAGATGATTGACCCCGCTGGCCACTCGTTTAAGAGTTAAATAATTAGTTCTGTACTCTGGGGAAATTAACTTTGTCTCAAACATCCTTTGGATTTGGGCTCAAACTCCTCTAAACCCATCATTGACTAGACTAAGCTATTTACACAGAAGTTTAATTTCCTCTTGATCCAGTTAACTGTGTTGTATGATTAGGGACAGTGTGACCTGAACCTAGGGTCATGCAATTTTCTAAACACTAAATCCAGATTAACAATACCCATTTGCTGGGTTCACGTAGCATCTTTTGCATGAAGAAACCAAATTATGGTTTAGATTGGTGGCCTGATTGACACAAAATGTAAGACAAGGGCCGGGACCCCAGAACATTTAATTCAGCTTCCTCTACCATATTCAATAATGTACGCTTGTGTATGTTTGGAGCGAGTGTATGTCATAAGTCATGACTTTATTCAAATGAAGAAAATAATATAAATTGGACATGACTGACAGATTATGGAATCTGCACCATTTGTATAATGCCAGTGGCTTATGCCCCATCATCCTGATTTTTACAGACATCTGTGTAATCACAGCCATTTGGCTATCCTGAAGCAGCAGGAATAGGCGTATGTGTGTTTTGGGGTGAATTAGTGCTTTTTTAGCTGTCTGTCCCACACAACTCTGCCACTACAGACTCCCATCAACTTCTTGCCAAGGTGTTTCCCTGCACAGCCAATAGCTTGCTCAGAGCGGTTTCTTGCCTTGGGGCTGTACAGATGGCCACTATAACGAAAACAAATAAAATAAAGGCAGCTTTGTGTTTGGTCCTTATTTTATTCTTAGGAACAGAATGCATGAATTTGTAACTCATCATAAGATGACAAAAGAATGGAGTCAGATAATGTAATATCATAAGCATTAGAACGGCTGATCCTTCGTAAAAGGGAGTGTGAACAATGATTTATTAAATTTAATGTGGCCACCCATTCCAGTGGATTCTTAAAAGTGAGACATGCATGAAGAACACATCCCTACAGATATTTTAGGTATTAGGCTTCCTCCCACCAAATATAGCTTACATGATTGTTCTGTCTCACCTTTCTTCTTCCTCAAAAGATGAAAGAGTACAAACTCACACAAACACAAACACAGGCAGGCTGGCTTTCGAAGGAGCTGGGTTATTGGACCCGTCAGCTTGGCAAAACCCGGGATGAAGGTCCAGTAATAGTTAGCGAACCCCAATAGGCATTGAACGTCCTTCACGCCACGAGGAGGTTCCCAACTACACAAGGCCTCCACTTTATGCAGGTCCATGGCAATACCTTTGGGAGAGATGATGTGCCCAAGGAACTCTATGGAAGTCTGAAAGAAGAGACATTTCTCCAGCTTCGCATAAAGTTGGTGCTCCCGAAGGCATTGCAAGACCAGATGAACGTGTCGAAGGTGGCAGTCCCTGGACCCGGAATAGATCAGAATATCGTTCAGGTACACCACCACGAACCGATCTAACATATCCCGAAACATGTCATTCATCAGGTGCTGGAAGACTGCAGGGGCGTTGGTCAACCCAAATGGCAATCACGGTGTACTCAAAATGGCCATATCGGGTGCCAAATGCTGTCTTCCATTCGTCCCCCTTCTGCATCAGCACCAGGTTATAGGCCCCTCGAAGATCGAGCTTGGTGAAGATAGTAGCCTTCCCCAACCTCTCCAACAACTCCGGAATGAGTGGCAAAGGGTAGCTATTCCGCACCGTGATGGCATTTAGTCGACGGTAATCACAACACAAACGTAAGTCTCCCGTTTTTTTCTTGACAAAGAGAACTGGGGCTGAGAGGGGACAACGAAGGCCGGATGAACCCTCGAGCCAAGTTTTTGTACAAAAAGTCCTGTAGTGCGGCCAGCTCGGGCTCGGACATGGAGTACAAACATCCCTTTGGCAGTGGTACATTGGGCAGAAGGTCCACTGGGCAATCATAGGGCCGATGCAGGGGTAACCGGTTCGCCTCCTTCTCACTGAACACATCCGTGAAGTCCGTCAGTTCAGGAGGTATGGAGACGGCAGAGGTGGTGATGTCTTGGCCAGCACAGGTGTGGCGGAAGTGGTCCACACACTGCAGACTTGGAAAAGAAATGGCGTTCCGCGACCATGCCACCTGAGGATCATGAATCCTAAGCCAAGCCATGCCGAGGACTAATGGGAAATGGAGGTCCGCGGTGACATAAAAGCGGATCGCCTCCTCATGTTCTCCAATGACTAAACGCAAAGGCTGGGTGGCAAATTTAATGGGTCCTGCCATAAGTTCCCGCCCATCAATAGTCTCGACCCTCATCAGAGGTTCTACCGGAACCAAGGGGACATCAAAATGGGCCGCAAAGGCCTGGTCCATAAAGTTAGTCATGGCCCCCAAGTCCACCAGCGCATTCGCTGGAATCCCTTCCGACTGGTTAGCCAAGAAAACCCGAGTGTCCAAAATCAGATGCCGAGGGGGCCCAGAGTCAACCTCTGCTAATTCAGGCAGGTGTTTGATATGTGCCCGGCCTAGGGTTTCCCCTAGGTCGGGCCTGCCCCATTTCCTGACTGATCACGCTGAGATTCAGGCACAGGTTTGAGCGCCCCACTTCACTTTAGAGGACAAGAAATAGCGAAATGTCCTGCCCCCCCCCCACAATACAAGCACAAACCTCCTTGGTGTCTCCATGTTCGCTCCTGGGCCGTCAGGTGAGGTCTGACCGCTCCTAACTCCATTGGCTCCTCGGCCATTGCCACGACACGTTGGGCGACCCGGGGTGCTGTTAGCACAGGGTGCTGCGGTACAGATGCAGATGGCTGCTCCTGGACGGTACGACAGGTCTTTCGCCGTTGGAGATGTGCGTCGATGCGTAAGCATTGCACCACCAGAGTGTCGAAGGTCGGGGCCGGTTCCACTCGAACTAACTCGTCCTGCAGCTCATCTGACAGGCCATCCTGGAAGGCGTCCATTAACGCTGCGTCATTCCAGTTGGAGTCCAGGCATAAAAGCCGAAATTCAGAAATAAATTCTTGCAGGGGGCACTTCCCTTGTCAAAGATCCTTAAGATGCCTGGTTGCCATCTGCACTCGTATGGGGTCTTCATACATGTGGCGCATGTGTTGCCAAAAACCCTGGTAATTAGTTAATAATGGGCTGTTCTTGAGCAACAAAGGTGTGGCCCATCTGGCGGCCGAGCCAGAAAGAAGGCTTATCACAAACCCCACCCGAGCCTGGTCATCTGGGAAATCCTCTGGCCTCATAGCCATAAATAACTGGCACTGTCCCATGAAAGCCGGGAACATCTCAGGCTGCCCAGAAAACTTATCCGGCACAGCCACCAGGCATTTCCGACGGGGGGGGGGGGGGGGGGGGGGGGGAGGAGCTGCATGAGCCTGCAGCAAAGCAAGTTGGGCCACTTGCTGTTGTAGAGTTTGATTTTCATCTTGCAGCTGTTGTTGAAACTGCTGCTGCTGGTCCATCTTAGGTAAAAGATGGTTTAAGTCAGGTACGGGACAAAAATGTTCTGTCTCACCTTTCTTCTTTCTCAAAAGATGAAAGAGTACAAACTCACACAAACACAAACACAGGCAGGCTGGCTCGGACTTCACAGAGTGAATTCTTTGGAACTGATAACATCCTTGGCATTCCAACACGCTCTGCCTGCCAAGTCCGAACTGATAACAAGTAAAAAGCTACTTACAGAAAATTACAAGGCAGACCATAAAACTCATTCACAAAGAAAAGCTGAAGTAAGATCAAACTTTGTCCCGTACAAAGTTCCAGCCGACAACACACCCACTTTTATCCCCTGTGGGGTGTGGCTCAATGACTCAGCTCATTCTCTGACCCTCCCACGCCTCCTACGTTGCTGCTCACGTTTCTCCCTACGACGCTGCTTAGGATCAAGCCAACATTCTTCCTCTGGACTCCCTGTCAGGGGCTGTTCCGATATGCCTTCCTCCTGATTAATCTCAGGCTCGGTTGTCTGATGAAACCT